AATTGCTTACGCGTTGTGTCAACTACCATCTTTAACAAATGTTTTGCCCGTTTTCAATCAAATAACAAGATATACAAAAAAGGCTTCATCATATTCCTCTACTCCATAACTCACCTTAAATTCTACATATGTTTCAAGTTAAAGTCATTGCACAATGGACTTTTTTAGCACGAATTATTGCTGTGGAATGATACAAATTCAATAAATGTCCACCTATAATTTCAATCAATAACAAAATATAAAAAGTCTTGATCGAATCTCCTGAAATTGTGCATATATTTCTAGTTAAAAGTCATTGCACCATGCGCGGACTTTTTTAGCACACTATGAAATGACACAAATTCAAATACATATAGCTCACTTTTAGGATAGCATAATATTTATCTCAAAGGCACCGTTTGTGAGTTGGTCTCGATAAAGCTCTCATTTATCATTCAGAATCCTTATAGTTAACGAGCCGAACAATTGGTTAAGCCTCAAACATGCGAAATTTTGTAGAATTTTCTTATATCCCGGCTTGAGCTGGGCTAAAAATATTGATAAGCGAGCGGAGTTCGAGCTCGTTTATCGACTCGTATAGTCTCGGCTTGATAAAAGCTCGAGCAAGTGATAGTTAATGGGATTGAATGCTATCTAAACACTTTTTTTTTTTTTTATATTTATCAACGGAACTAATAATTATTCATCACATTGTCCTCTCCTTTTTTCTCATTCGAATTGCCAACATAATTTTTATATTGAAAATTAAAAAATAATATACATTTCTAATAAAATTTACTACAAATTCACCCATATATTTATTAATAATATCAACCATTGCTTAATAATTTTTAGTTTATCATAATTAGTTATCAATATTTATTGTTAGTATTTTATTTTCTCAGTTATCTTGTATCATGTATAAACAAGATAATTTAATGTGGTCCACATGTTCATATTATAAAGAGTACAGATATTGTTAATCACCTATTATCTTGTATCATTTATAAACAAGATATTGTTCATATTTATAAGTAGAAATTGTACCTCTCTATCAAAAGGTACCATAAACCAATAGGTATCATATATCAATAGGTACCTTTCTGCCAAAGGGTACCATCGGTTTTAAAAGGTCCCTAGGCTCATCACTGTGTAACTACTGAATCTTACACCATCTAAAGAAAAAGTGAAAGAGTCTAGAAGATCCTAACCGAATAAAAGTGAACGTGCCGAAGCCTTCATCGTTGTCTTCTACAAGTTCTTCAAATAACTCAAACATACACAAGCAATGGCTGGAGGTATGTAATCTCGATCATTCCGCTGCACCAATATATGATTAAATCAGATAAATATTCTTACATTTATATCACACCACTTTAATTATATTACAAAAATAACTACATTTTTTCTCCAATACAATATTTTTTTTTTTTACTCAAATAAAAGTGTAAATCTGATCCCACTATCAATAACAGCTCGCGAATCCCCAACAATTATCAAAATGAAGTAGAATGAATGTAATAATCTTTAGGGTGTAATTGATTTTTGTCCGTATGAGAAACTGGTTTGACCTATATTGATTGGTCGAAGAGTGTATTTTATATATTTATTAACGTATTTTTATATATTTAATTTGTCGTACTTACATGTTTTTTTTACTTATTTATTTACTAGATGAATTTAAGTGTCATGGTATATTTATAGTTTATTTTCAAACTATTGGAGTGCTAATTTAAGAGACAGCGAGATACAAAATGAATGTTTTAAGCCAACGCAACGTAGGGGTGCTCAATACCACCCAATACCCGCCTGATTTGGGCCTATATGCACCATCATGGTAACTAAGGCCCAAGTTTGAGCAATCAATAAGAAATGGCTGGAACGAAACTGAGGAAATTACATCCTCCACTTATACAATCTAAAAATATTACATAATTACATCAACTTATATAATTATTTACAAATTAACTAAATTTGTTATATTTATTTGTATATATGCCTAAAAAAACGGATTTCCTATTTACATGGTAACTTTCCATTCCTATTTACATGTAACTTCCCATCAATTACCATGTAAACTTAAATTGCTTGAATCCCCAAATCTTCCACCGGAAATTAGGAAACGTCGAATCAAACAATCCAATAATGGTTGCTCAGATCAGGTACAGAAAACTGGGGGATTAGTATGTGGGTCGGGTTTAAGCGGGTCGGGCGTACTTTAATTGACGAATTTGAGATGGTTGGATGGATGACGATGGAGGTGTTGCATAGTGGCCACCTGTCAAAGTTGCTTGAAACTTAAATTGCAGTCGAGCTCCTAAAAAACGGATTTCATATTTTTTTTCTACTGTTTTGATCAATGATTTCATCTGGATTTGGTGTTTTGTGTGTGTGAATTTTTTTCTACCTTTGTATGGTTTATATTCAGTATATTTTCAATATATTTTTTCATCCCCTCATATTGTATCGTGTTTGTATCGTCCACCCTATTATATGTATCGTTTATATTCAGTATATTTTTGGTATATGCATGATTTATATTTAGTAAAATTATGGAAAATATATACAATACATATACCATCATTACTGTTCACGTATATGATGGTATATGTTGCGTTTATTTTAGTATATATTCAGTATATATTATGTAACCATATCCATTCAACCTCCAATCAACCTTGATTTTAATTGACCTACCAACTTTTTTTTTTTGTATATTTGCGTAACTTTTCTTAAAAAAAAAAGAAAAGATCGATCGCGCCTCTATTGTGGTTGTGCTATGTTGTGGTATATGTACAGTATATGATCAATATATGTATAGTATATATGCTTCAGAATAAAATTCAAAAAGCACTTTTTAGCAAATGGGCGCAAATCATGGGCAAAATAAGGAGACAAAGTTGAATTGATATGGTAACTGAATCAGACAAATTAAATGCACGTGGAGAATGGTTAGAATTAAATGGTAACTGCCATTATGCATTAATTTAGATAAATATTATCTTTTAGGCAAAATCACAATTAATTGCATATATGTAGTAGAGTTGTACTTTCTTTTGAAACGCGTAGGAGGGATAAAAATTTCCCTTTATGGGATGGTTAATTTATGAATACATGGGCTTAAGGAGTTATTTGGAGGAGGATTTATTTGGAGGATTGCGCAACCAAACGCATCAACAGCAGAAGAAAGACGCAACAACAGAGAGCACGGGAGGAAAGAAAAATCACAACGTTGCACGGACAAACGCAAAGAGATAACGCACCCGCACACGAGAAGGATAATTTTATTCTTCTTTTTTATTTTGTATTTATTATGTTACAATAGTTTTTTTTTTATAGTTGGTGATGTTGAATTTACGTACTTGGCTATGTTTAATTGATTATGGTGATTGATTATTTTAATATTTATATGGAATTGCTCGTGTTAATTTATTTTGATCAACTTAGATTGATAGCCTAGATAGAATTTTTCATGTCTAACGCTTGAATTAAACATGCAATCCGTAATTGTTGTTGATTTTGATTCGTTAGTAGCAAATGACAGTCGAAATTTTTTTGAAATAACATAACCAAATTACGTAGATCGAGTGTGTGGATTTACTATTTAAGCTAGCCTATTTTCCTAGATCCTAAAGTTGTTACTGCATTAAATATAGAAAGCGTGTTATAGACTATCCAATAGCTAGGTATAATCGAAGAGCGTGTGTCGACAGGTCGTGTGCTTACCAAATACGGTCAAGAACTATCGATACTACTGTTGGATCAAGTTATCGCAACTCGACCAGAGTAGAAAGACTAGATGATATAAGATACCATACCAGGTCGAGTATGACCTAAAAAGCGATTCGACTAGATCGGGAGGACCTACAAGTCAATTAGATAGCGAGGACACAAGAGATCGAAGAATCACCAGGTTGATGATGACCTCACAAGACAAGAGAACTCACCAGCAGATCGAACTAGGTTTTTTTTGGTTAACATGATAGAAACTCGACCTGAGATGGGTAGGTCGATGTCGCGACTGATGGGTCTACATCCAGATCTGAAGTGAACCGATGGTTGTGAGCTCCGATCTGTTCGAACCGCCTCCGAATTGCCTCTAGACCGCCGTAAACACCTGCAAGAACTCAACGCCGGAAGTGTTTCCGGCGTAGAGCCTCCGACGCTCAAGTCAGTATGAGAAAGAGATAAGAGAGATCTGCTCTGAGAAAGCAACAACAGCAGAAAGGAGAAGGGGAAGTGTATAGGATGAGTAGAAGTTAGGGTTTAGAGTTACCTCAGCTCCTTTATATAGAAGAGAATACCTTCTTAAAGTACCCAAAATGCCCTGGTCGGTTTGTATTCCATCCACCTCTTAGTCAGCTCAAGATTCCTTCTTATCCAATAAAGATTCACCTTCATTTAGGGGACTTGTCAGGAGACTTTGCAAGTGTCTCAAGTCGTCACCACTCGAGTAGCAATGAGTCGACCTCGAGTAGTAAGAGGTCGACTTGAGGGTTTGCGTATAAATGATACATCAGGAGGCTTATACAATTCTTCGAATAATTCTCGTCTTCTTGATAGAGGTCGACTTTGGGAAGTCGACTACAAAGCTGTCGACTGAGTGAAACCAGCTCCTTCCTGCACAACTAATATATAAAGAGAAGTCGACTATTTGGGGGTCGACTTAAGGATGTCGACTTCAGAGCTATCCATTTGACACGGAGGCGGCTTGACTTACCATCCCGGTCGAGTAATTAGTACTTGGACCAATATAACTTAATATGGCTATATTAGCAACCTAAGAGATAGAGCTAGTACGCGGAAAGTCGAGACAATCTAGTCGGAGAGGAAGTTGAGCCAGTAGTATGATTAGACCGTCTAATAAATCATACTAATGTAAACACACCATATAATGGATGAGAAGGAATACACTTAGGATAATATCTACACGTGTTTTTAACCACGTGGTCTAACAAAATTGGGCACTTCGGTCACCCGGGCAGTACAGAAGAGTAATTCGAGCACTCGAGCAGTCATCCGGTCAGTCTTGGACAACAACTTAAAACTCCTATATATAGGGGTGAGGTAATGACCATTCACACTCTACACACTCTTATATACTTACAAGCTATAAAATTACTATTCATCTTCTTCCTCAACTGTATACTGACTCGATCTTTGGAGTCTCTACGAAAGGAACACTCCGATGCTGTTTTGTAGGTCTATCGAACCGGTGGAGTGCGGATCCAATGTCGCAAAAGCTGGTCGAAGTCGTTTGCACACAAAGTGAATTATATTATAGGCAAGTATTGGTGAATAGTATTAAGAGGAAGGTCAACCCTATCGATGTAGACAACTCATATTGGGGTATTAACGATCAAATCATGTGTATATACATCCACACTCGTGTGTTAATACAACGTTTCAGAGCTAATAGCAGCTTAAAGAGGTTTCCTTTTTTCTTTAAGAAAAAAAAATCCACCAATAATGTAAACATTTTATTTGACCATAATTTTTTCAGTCATTAGTTACATTAATTCATGAAATGAAAGAGAATTTGAGTCTTTTTTTGTTCCTTCGGCCTTCAAAAGGATGATCATCATTGAGAGGTACAGCCTGAACCTGACTGCATGAAATAAAATCAGAAAATAGCATAAATTGAAACAGAGTAATATAGTTTGAAAATTGAAAGGTATATCAAGAGGAATTATATTTTGTTTGAGCTCATATATAGTTAGTCCAGTCGTCTAAACGACAATCTGATAAAGGCCCAATTTCAAATTGCCAGACATAGCCCAACTGTCCGTGAAAATATTTTTTCAGTTATCCACCTAAAAAAAAATAAATATCTATTCACTCACTTTTATTCTATCTCAATTTTTATTTTGCAACATAATTTTGAAATTAAGAATCAATCATTACTAAAGTATTTATTTATAGAAAAATAATGTTCATTCATTTACATATTTATCACTACTAATTATTTTACTTTTTTTCCTATCATAACAGTTAAGTATGACCCTTTCTATAGCAAACCACTTTAACTTATTAATATCATCTATACTTATATAAAAAAAAATTACTATTTACTAAATATAGCAAGCAAAACAAATTTCAAAATTTCTAAATAAGGAAGGGATAGAAGTTTAAATAAAATATGGTTGCTTTAACGAACTTATAGGAAAAATAGAAAAAAAATAAATAAAAAATATCTTTAATTCAAATTCAATTGTTAACAATTTCCTAATAATTTTCATGCAAATCTTTAATTCAAATTCAAATGTTAACAATTTTCTAATAACTTTCCTACAAAATTGCCCGCATAAATAATGATAGATATGAAATTTAGCAGTATTCAAAAGTTAAGGAGTAATTCAAATTGTGGAGAATTTAAAATGGTACGAGTTTGCATCATTCATTTTAGTAAAAAAAAATAAAAAACTTAAAATGAATTTTATTAAAAAATTAATTTCATTTAATTAACTTGCACTAATTATACCGTCCATGTAAAGAAAAAAAAAACAAAATTATATTTATGCAATTAAAAAAAGTGTATGCTACAACATTGGATATTAATCCATACATCATAGGTACTCAATTAATAAATCTTCACCACATCATTTGTTGGAATAAAAAACTTAATAACGGGAAAAAAAAAATTGGGACTATGTTTACTTGAAAGACTATCAACAAGTGTACATATTTTTAAATTCATTGTCAAATTGAAACTTTAAATTCGTACTCAAATTGAATTGAATAATATAATTTAATTAGAATGTAAGAGTTTCTTAGAAAAAAACTATCAAGCAATTTGCATTGTTTTTCAAAAACACATAAGTACTGATTTCTAAAATTATAGAAATTGTTTACTTGATATAGATTATGACCACGTGTACAGATTTTAAAACCATCATGAAATTCAAATTGGAATAATATGATTTAATTAGAATTGTAGAAGTTTATTAAGAACAAAAACTCTCTGTGAGTTTGCATTGATTTTCAAAAACAAATAAATACGGATTTCTTTTATAAAGAAATTATTTATTTGTATTTCATCATAAATCTCAAAGATGTGTACTTTGTTGATACGTGTTTGAATAAAAATCTTAATAACAACGAGATTTTAAAATCATCACATAAAATTGATAAATGAAATATATGCAGCGTAGAATTGTTAAGTCTTCGTTTATTTTATACATTTGATTACAAATTTTGATAATGAGATTTTAAAATTGTTATATAAAATTGATAAATGAAGCATATGCATAAAGCATGGAGTTATTAAGCCTCCGTTTATTTTATACTCAAATTGATGACGAAATAATTTTCTGTATCATCTCAATATTTATTTTATATATAATATGTAAATCTTCTCTCAATTTTAATATTTTAGACATAAACTTTTTTATGTTCTTTATTTAAGATAATTTTATATTGTTACAATAGACTATATAAAGTAAATTTTATTACATGTAACCCCACATCTTTAATTTATATTTATAGTTAATATTGCTTATCCTAATATTTAGTTTATAATTAATATTAGTATTATTATTATTTTTTTCGGTACAATGAAAGAGGCCATAAGCCTATATTAGGACTCGACGGGGATACGACACTCAAATAATATCATGCTCTAACCAAACTCCTAGAACCGAAGGCGGGGAACCTACTCGCTGAAGGTTGAGACTATTAGTATTATTTACCCGTGCATAGCACGGGTTATACACTAGTTAATTTTTATTCTAAGTCTTTTTTTTTCATTATTTTTTTTTTCCAATGTATACATATTCAATTGCAGTCTTATCCGTTCTGTATCTAATGTGACATTTCCAAAACATCTAAAAGAAAAAAAGGAGGAAAAATGAAACATGTCCGAATAAGAGGAATTCAGATTTAAATTTAACAAATNAAAAAAAGAAAAAAAAAATAAAAAATCAAATTATCAAGAATTAGGACCTTATAAAAGTCTACGGCCAAGAAATTAGCCCACCGGTTTCCGGCCGCTACAGAACATGTCCTGAGCATATCGTCCAAGTTGTCGGAGTGCTGAACACACGCCACAAGCTTAATCGGAATTTTCGGGAAATAATTTACGAGCACCAAAGATCTACTCATATCGTTTAACACATTTGACTCTTTCCTATTGGAGCACTTTCCAGCTTCCATTCCATCATCTCCATCTAATCAAAACAAAAAAAGAAAAAAAAAAAGAAAGAAAAATCATAGATAGATCATTAATTAGTATAGTATATAGTTTAATTGTCAAAATATTTAAAAACAACAATGACATTTTAATAAGGCATATTATATATGACCTACATTGATTTTCAACCATGTAATTCCACTGATAAGCAATCCCTTCACTAGTTTCCTTAGACTCTTCGGAAGTAAAAACGAGCAGCCTTTGATTTTGCGCGACCATGTCGCTAACCAAAGGCCAATCTTGGCCGCCTTTAGGCATTCTCGACAAAGGGAACCAGTACTTCATTAAGCCCGATTCGTTAAAAACATTGGTCAATCCGTTTGGTGTTTCAACGTAGTCTTCCAAAATCAACGTCACGATTTCAGACGGGTTTTGGGACAAGAAGGCTTCGATTTCCCTAAATGTGTCGATAGCGGGTTCCTGTAAAATTTAGATGGCAACACTTTAAGATTTAATTACATGAATGAGTGATATTGAAAGAAATAAGAATATACATATATATATATATATATATGTGTGTGTGTGCGTGTGCGCGCGCGCGCGTGTTTGTACAAACTTCAAAAGCAAAGTCATGACTCAATCATATGCTCATTTCATCATGTAGTCAATGAATTAAAACAAATTTTGAGACTTAGAAATAGCAAAAGCAAACTCATGACTCTAAATCATATGCTTATTTCATCTGTAGTCAATGAAGTAAAACAAATTTTGAGACTTAGAAATACGATAACATTTCATATGTCCACAAAATGTACACCAATATATAGCTCGTAACATATAAACTGTCATATTGATGTAATTTTGCGTACAAAAGTTGTCGAGTGTACAAAAATGAATTTTACACCTGAAAACATAATGAAATACAAATAACTACTTACGAATTTGGTGTTGTAATGGCATTTGCCTCCAAAGGAATGGCACAACCATACCTCTCCTTCGAAAACATATGTATCAAGCATTAAGCCACGGACGCCATTCTGTTAGGGAATAAAGATCATAATCGGTTAACAGAAACGTGAATTATATATAGTGTTTTTAGATGGAAAAAAGCAATGAAATGAGATGCAAATAACGTACGTTGAGTTGTTGAGAGATTGTGTCTTCTTGATTGGTTAAAGTGAGCTTCAGTTTCCCGTTGTCAATGGCGAAAGAGTTGTGGGTCGTAAGAAAAGCGTATTTATTGAATGGTAGAGAATTGTTCTGCACAAATTTTATAAATAATTAATGAATTTGGGACATACCAATAAATAATTTCTTATTTTCAACCATTAACTATTTTTGGCTCATACCAATGTACAAACTTTCGTTGTAAAATATTAATATTTTAACACTACAAGAAAATATCAAATAACTAAAAATGTTACCAACAGAACCATTTTATTGGTAAATAGCAACATATTACCTATAGAGTACCTACAAAAATTTGTAATTTTGGACAAAAAAATACTACTACAAATCACCAACAAATCTCCAACAAAAAAAGAACACTAGACAAATATTCGTACGCAATTTGTAGCTATACACCAACTAGTATATAGTTTGTTAATAAACGCCTAGAGATTGCCTACAATTTCCCAATAAATAAGACTTACCTATAATTCTTTTCTATGCATTTACCTACACATTTAATTTGTAGGTAAATGACTAGAGATTACTTACAATATATTTTCCTTACAAATTTTTTTCTAGGTATTTTACCTACAAATGCATTTTGTATATAAATACCTAGAGATTACCTACAATTTCCTACATTTATGTACAAGAACATTTTTTTACAAATATTTCTCTAGTTATTTACCTGCATATTTTTTTTAGATAAATGACTAGAGATTGTCTACAAATTTTTTCCCCACAAATTTTTCTCTAAGTATTTACTTGCAAACGTATTTTGTAGAGAAATGCCTAGAGATAGCTACAAATTTCCAACATTTACATTTCAAGTATATCCCAACAAATGTTTCTTTAGGTATTTATTTACACATATATTTTGTAGGTCAATTTTTAGACATTGCCTACAATTTTTTTTCCTCTAAGTATTTACCTACAAATGTATTCTAGCGAAATGCTAGAGATCAATTAAAATTTTAAACAATTATGTTATAAAGATTTCTCAACAATTTTTTTTTTTAGGTATTTACCTACAAATATATTTTGTAGGTAAATTCTTAGAGATTGCCTGCAATTTTTTTTTCCCTACAAATTTTTCTCTAGGTACTTACCTAGAAATGTATTTTGTAGGTAAATGCTTAGAGATTGACTATAAATTTCCAACATTTATGTTATAACGATTTCCCTACAAATTTTCTCTAGGTATTGTCCAACAAATATATTTGTAGGTAAATGCCTAGAGATGCTCTGATCAAGAGCACCCTCAGCACCCTGTCGCTTCACCTCCTTACGGTCCTTGATCCCCACCAGTCTACTATCCACGAGCTAGATCAGATTCTAACCCGTTACTTTTGGGGGCATGGGGAGGGCTCTCGGAGAGGGAGACAGATCCACTGGGTGAAGTGGGACTCTGTTTGCCGCAACTTATCTGAGGGGGTCTCAGGATTCGGCGTTTCTCGGATGTCGTCACTGCATTTTCTTACAAAATGTGGTGGCGATTATGGAGGGTAAGTCACTTTGGGCTCAGTATCTTCGCCGGAAGTACTGTCCTGGAGGAGCTACCCATCCCTGTAGGGTGACGGCTACCGCCCGCGATAGCAGGCAGTGGAGGCGGCTCACCATGGTGGGTAGACGTGCTCAGGAGCACAATTTTTGGTCTCTGGGGGATGGGGAGGTTAGCTTTTAGGATGAGTGGTGGTTTGGTGAGGGTCCCCTTTCGAGCACTAGACAGGTCACCCATCTTCCCTTTTTACAGGTGAAGGACCTGTGGACAGAGGGAAGATGGGATAGGGATAGGCTAGAGAGGATTCTAGGTACTGGAGCGGGCCTTAGTGATCAGGTGATAGATGAGATCCAGCAGATTCCCATCTCGGAGGATGGTTTGGACGGTATGAGGTGGAGGCTTACATCTTCGGGTGCATTCTCTACGACCTCGGCTTGGGGGGAAGTACGGTAGGGTGACTGACCTAACCTTCTCTTTGGGGCCATCTGGACCGACCTACTTACCCCTACCATATATGTTTTCCTTTGGCGCCTCCTTTTGCGCCGCCTACCGATTGACAATGTGATGCAGACGAGGGGGTTCTCCTTCCCCTCGCGTTGCTACTGTTGTGCCGAGTCTGGCGATTTTCAGACAGAGACCTTTACCCACTTGTTTTTAGAGAGCGAGACTGTGAGGAGAGTGTGGGAGCATTATACCAGTTACACTCATATCCCCCTACCCTCCACAGATACATTCTTTGAGCTTCTGAGTTTTTTCAGACACCGCACACACATTAGACACGTGAGCTTCCTTATTCCTTGTCTGATCCTTTGGGCCACCTGGACAGAAAGGAAAAACGCGAAGCATAGGGATAACCCTTTTTTGTCTTCCCATACTATTTTGCAGGTTGGCCGACATCTCTCGCTCATCACCGCTTTGGGCAGACTCACCCAGAGAGACTGGACAGGTTGCACGCCACCTCACCGCCTTACACCACCTCCGCTGGTGCCTGTCCAGCATCCACGTCCCAGAGCTGTTGTTTGGCTGAAATCCGAGTCGCCTTGGGTTAAGCTAAACACTGATGGAGCCTTTGATCGACTTACTGGAGCTGCAGGAGGTGGGGGCCTGATTAGGGATCATAGCGGCGCCCTTGTTGTAGCGTTTCATGCCCCTCTTCGGGCCTCCTCGAGCTATGACGCAGAGGTTCAGGCGCTCCAGATTGGTCTGCAGATTGCCGCCTCGATCTCCTCTCACATTTAGATAAAGTTGGACGCGGCCGCTGTCATCACTCTTCTGTCATCTGGACACCAGGGCACGTGGCAGATCGAGCATCCTCTCATGCGCATCAGAGTCACTCTCCAGTTGATTCGCTCCTGGATCTCGCACATCTTCCGCGAGGGAAACCGGCCAGCTGACTTCCTCGCTGGCATCGGGTCCTCCATCCTCCACAGACGCATTATTTACCCTGACGATATTCCTATCCGCCTCCGCACCCTCATATAGATGGACCAGATGGGATACCCTTCATTCAGATTTGTGTAGCCGGACCTACATTTTGGCGCACCCGCCACACTGTGATGCTGACTTTCTAGCCGGGACCCCCCCTCCCCCCGGAACATGAACTGTTATTTTCATATTTCTAGCTGCAGTTGTCAGCTTTTCTCTGTATTTTTCTTTCCTTTGTTTTCTTTTTGGTTTTTCGTTTGACTGGATGTATATCAGACATTGGACTTGTAGCCTTGTGACTTTTCGGCCCATTTAGGGCATTTTATATACATGTTGGGGGTTCGGCCTTAACCCCCCACCCTACTGGGGTGTTGGTTCAAAAAAAAAAAAATGCCTAGAGATGCTTACAATTTTTTTTCCTACAATTTTTTTTCTAGGTATGTTGATATCAAATTCAGTAATCAGAATTAAAGTATTGCAAGTCGGAATAAATTAGAGCAAATTACCGACTTCATTAGAATTGCCGAGTTCCGAAAGATCTCTTCCGACAAAACCTTCAAAAGGATCAAAACCGGCATCTGAAATCAGCGTGAGTAAACCGATTTCAAAAGTAAACCGACTTCAAGTCAACCGACTACCATAAAGATTGAGCATTCCAAACAAAAAGTAATCATTAGAAGCATCTGATTGGACCAACGAAACAAAAAGGCAATCATTGATGTTTCCCGCCGCCTCAAAACGAAGCAGCTCAATATTAAATGCATCTCTATCCATTTCGAGGAAGGAGACAAAAGCCACTGTACTATAAATAGCAAAATTTATGATAGTACGGGGGGGGGATATCTTCTTCAAACACATTGTACACGAACTAAAGACAATCTCGGTTTTCAGCTTAAAACCGACTTCTGTACTCTTATGAAGATAACCAATAAAATCCAATTAAACTTTTATCTTCATTTTCTGAACATCAACTGTGTTTAATTTTAAGTTGCTAATTCAAGACAGCAACAGTTTGGCGCTAGAAGAAGGGCCGCTTTAGCCCTTTTCTCCCTTGTCAATTGTTTATCTTGTAAGCAACACAAAAAAGATGTCGAATTCTGGACGAAATGAACGAAATCCTGACCCTGGGATCAATCGTCATCCAACGCATACAACCGGAACTTCTGCCGTGCCATCTACATCAATTGATTATTCAGCTTTATTTCAAGATCCAGAGTTCTTGAAAAACTTAACTGATTTTATGGCACGAACAAGGATAGAACCAGCCGCGGCGGATAATCCTCAAAATCGCTCAATCCCAGTTCCACGAAGAAATACTAATCCTGCAACATCACATGCAACTTCCCATCCACGCACACATGAATCACAACATGATGCAACAACTCAAAATCGTGGAGTAGTTCCAGTACAAACTCGAGTTCCAGAACCAGCGCGATCAGAAGCAACTGCAGAAAGCCATTCTGGACATCGACCACGACAGCCTACTCCATCGTTACCCGAACTATCACGACATGATCAACCTTCTGATTTACGACACACTCTCGAACAAACCCATACTCGTCGTGGGCAAAATGAATTACGTCGTTTGATTGAAAGAAATCGCCAAAGACGCGAATCAGAAGAATTAGAAATGTTAAGAAAAAGAATTGCTGAGCTGGAGACTTGTCAAGACGAACATGGAGGACCACCACGACGAACTCCAGTGATAGAAGAGACGTATCAAGAAGTTGGAACTCCTCTAGCTCCTCATTTGACTAGAGAGCCTATCCCAACTAAAGTGAAAGTTCCGCAAATCGGCTTATACGATGGAACTTCCGATCCTGATGCTCATCTTGGTCAATACACATCTTGGATGGACCTTCATGGAGCGAATGAAGCACTCAGATGTCGGATGTTTTCTTTAACCTTGGGACCACGAGCTCAAAAATGGTATCATTCTCTATCTCGGTATTCAATCTCCACATGGCAGCAGTTGAGAACGGCTTTTCGCTCTCATTTTATCTGGGCCCGAGTATCTTTAATTCCCAAAGAGTCAATCGCAAATATCGTACAAAAAGATGATGAAAGCGTAAAAGATTACATTACTCGGTTCAACGAACGCATACAAAATATGGAGCAATGCCATCCCGAAACGCTATTGGTCACAGCCATAGCCGGATTGAAGCCAAACTCGTTGTTCCGATGGAGTATATGTCAAAATAAACCGACTTCATTTCAAGACTTCCTAGCTCGG